TATATATCGTCGATTCGCATGAAAGACTGTCTGCGTCATTTGCGTTTTTGTTCACTATTGAACTCGTATTGCCTTTCGTGATGTAACTTTATTATTCAACAGTGATATAACCCATCATGACTAAATGATGATTTTTATCCTGAATTACAGGCAGACATGGTTTGAATCAATTTACATTAAGAATTTGACAGTAGAACAATATATTCGATTAAATKTTTCCTTTCAAAGTATATCCARCACGAAAACCGCATAACATCCATCGTGAACTTGTTTTTTAGTATTTTTTTCTGCATTGATAGCTGCCMCCTGATATAAGTTTATACAACTTTTCAGTAAAATCAGTCGTTTTGATTGGTTGGCTTTCGTGTGTTATCAAAGTATAGATACACGGATTACGTCAAAACTAATTATTTGTTGTATAAAACAGACTGCGTCTCGTGCGTACTTTTTTRTTCTCACTACATTTTGACGTCATCTGTGTATCTATTAGAGTACACACGCACGGAAAAATGAGATCTATTTGTTAAATATATAATGCCTGCATAATCTAAAAAAATTAGAAAAATACTAACTAGTTAAAAGAAAGGAAAATCTTAACACAAAACTTTTTGTACTATGTTGCATGTTACCTGGTGGGAACTAGCGGTAAACTAGTGTGAGCTGCGTCGGTGTTTCTAAAGAAACAGTTGTGTAAAGAAGATAAGTTTAACACCGTAAAAAAGTATGGGAAATAACTTACTGACGTTTCGGATGTTAATCCTTCGTCGGAGTAAAGAGAAGGATTAACATCCGAAACGTCAGTAAGTTATTTCCCATACTTTTTTACGGTGTTAAACTTATCTTCTTTACACAACTGTTGCATGTTATCATTTGGTTTCCTTTTCAGCAATCATCGCCTGTGAACTAAGTAGGCACGCCAAGCAAGTATACATCAGTACTCGACGAGGCTCTTACATCATTCCTCGAATGGACGGCAATGGATTTCCTACCGATTTTTCACTTGTCACACGTGCACGCAGTTTCATTCCTGCATCCATTTCTAACTTCATTTTGAACTGGAAATTGAACTCCATTTATAACTTGAGAGATTTGGGTATGGAACCCATGGACTACCGAAGTTTAACGTATGTCTTGGTCAACGACGAGCTTCCGCATCGAATAACGACAGGAAGCCTTATTGTTAAGGATGAAATTATTGGATTTCGAGATAGAAAAGTGTTCTTTAAAGATAACACAGAAATTGATGAGATTGATGATKTCATATTTACCACAGGGTACGATGCTCAACTCCCTTTCTTGCCAAAGTCTGTTTTCGATGCAGAACAAGCGAGTAGTGGTCATCAACTTTATAAGGCAGTCTTTCCAGTTGATAATCCTCGTCCAACCCTAGCTTTCATTGGGTTTTTTCGACTGCGTGGTGCTTTTAAACCTCTTTTGGAAATGCAGGCACGCTGGGTGATGCATGTATTCAAAGAGGAGTTACATTTACCTAGTGTCGCAGAAATGAAGAAAGAGGTCAAGGAACGACAAAAGAGGGCAATCGGGAATAAAAACCGTAGTTCTAATAGTGAGCTATACATGGTAAGTGAACAATCATCAATGACGTAAAGAAATTGTGATAATTGTTTGTCAGTAATTGCTGACCTCCTCGTATAGTTCGGACTGCCCCCGTTCTGGGCTCTGATCTCGTATGAAACCTTATTTTCTCCAATAAAATACCTTCCAAGCAATGATTCTCAGGTTCAGTCGATCTATTTTTTTGGAATATAGCAGCCAGTTTGCTAGAGTGATGGTCAAATTTTGCTAGTCCTTACTAAGCTTATTTATAGTATTCTTATGATAAGAAACTATATAAAATGTCCCTTCATAGCAATTACGAATCTAAATAAAACCCTATTTTGCCTAAATTACCGACAACAACCCTTATTAAACAAGAACCTTTTTTTGCCAGACTTGAATTGCGGGTGTTTATTACTGTAAACTTCAAATGTAAATAAGGATGATTCATAAATAAAAAAAAAATAATAAACTGTTATCTGTTATCTGTCATTCGACTTATGTGATTCAGTGTTTACCACCTTTCCCCTCACAGCTGACAGAAGGTCCATTGGCCTACTTGGATGACATTGCATCCCTGATAGGAGTCAAACCCAACTTATGGAAACTGTTTTTCCAAGATCCTAAGCTAGCAATAAAGTGTTTCTTTGGTCCAGCTATCCCAGCACAGTACCGTCTGATGGGAACAGGGGCGTGGTCAGGGGCCAAAGACGTCATAGAGAGAGTGGAAGAAAGCAGGTTGACTCCATTGTCAACAAGGAAGAGCAACAATCGATCGAGAGGTTCTTCRTGTGTGTTTGCGTGGATYGTGTGTAGTGTTTTTATATTTTTGATTAGTATTTTGCTGCTGGGAAGCAAAAAAGATTAACGTATAATGTTTTTAGTTATCTGTATACTTTTGTTCTTTAGAATTTCGGTATTTTGTTTAGTTGTGTCATGTATGAAATTGTTAGTATCAATTTGGAAAAACAATGCATCTTTCAGGTGAATCTGTTGTCAAATAAAACAG